AGTGGCTACAGTCCATCTACTGAAAACTGGAAAGAAAATCTGCAACTCTAAAGCACGGTTGAAGAGGAAGGTTTTTAGGTGGGCCTTGAGAAAGGGGAGAGAGGGTGCAAGGCGGAGGGATTGAGGGAGAGTGTTCAAGAGTTTTGGGGTGTAGCAGCTCAATGTGCGATGTCTGACGGTGGGGCGGAGGGTGTGAGGGACGAGCAGGAAGCTGGTGCCAGTTGAGCGGTGGCACCGGGTGGTGGATTGGGGAGTGAGCAGGTCAGAAAGGTAGGAAGGTGCCAGAGAGAGAAGGGATTTGAACACAATGTGAGGGTATTAAACAAGCTGATAGAACATTGGCGGACCTGGAGTTGGTACTGGAGGAGACAAAAAGATTTGTGTGTCATCCGCGTTCATGTGGAAGTCTGCGGATGACATCGCCCAGAGGGAGCATAAGGAAAAATGGAGACCTGGGGCACCCCGCAGGTGACCGGGCGGGGGTGGGAAGAGAAACCATTTGCTGAGATGAAATGGAGGCGGATGCTTAAGTAGTACTCGAACCATGCGAGTGCAGTGCCACTAACGTGGATGAGAAAGGAGAGGCGGTGGAGGAGGATGGCATGGCAAACTGTGTCGAACGCGGCAGAGAGATCCAGGAGGACGAGGAGGCAGAGGAAGCCCTGGTCACAGATAGAGAGGACGTTGTTTCTGATTTTGACAAGCGCTGTCTCTGTGCTGTGGGCAGTTCCAAAACCAAGCTGCAGGGGCTCGAGGAGGGAGATGTGTGATCGAATGTGACCTGCAACAATGTGTTCCAGGACTTTGGCAAGGAAGGCTAGGTTGGAAATGGGACGGTAGGGTGAGAGATTAGAGGGATTGAGGGTGGTTTTTTCGAGGAGGGGTGTAATAATAGCTAGTGTCTAGATTCCTAGTGTCCTGGCCATCAATCCTCCAGATAAAATTGTTCATTCATTTCATGGCTGTTTGTGGACATTGCTGTTTACAAATTGGCTGCTGCCTTCCCCTATAAAATACACAGACACTCCACTTCACAGTACATCTTATGAAGCACTTTGAGACTGTCTCCTGACATGTAAGATACTACATCAATTGCAGGATTTATTATTATGAATTAAGCTCCTAAATTCTTTATTAAAAAAACATAGAGCTAAAATAGACGACTGTGACATTTTTAAACTAATATGACTATTTTATTTTCCCATTTATATGATTTTGTTTTCCCATTTGTATGATTAGTTGAGGTACAGATTAGCTATGATCTAATTAAATTGCGAAACAGGCTCGAAGGGCTGAATGGCCTCCTCCTGTTCCTATGTTCCTATTTCTTGACATAAAACTGCCAAATTAGTCCAATGTTTTGAGAACTTAATAGCACATCATCAAGAAACTGAACTGAAAGTAATAAACATAATCCTTGCATTTGATAAATTGGACTAATTTGGCAGTTTTATGCCGAGAAATAGGAACATAGGAACAGGAGGAGGCCATTCAGCCCTTCGAGCCTGTTTCACAATTTAATTAGATCATGGCTAATCTGTACCTCAACTATCCTGTCATCAAAATATCTCAAAGACATTGTATTTGTAGGCAAACGGAGCAGCCAATTTGCGCACAACAATTTCCCACACGCAGCCATCAAGCTTTTCGAATAGTGCCATGAGATCTTAACTCATATGTATTTCACTAAGGACCTTCAACTGACCAAGAGCAAAAGGATTTTCATCTGAGCTATCTGGACTGGATTCAAACCCAGATACAGATGTGTAAGGAGAGTGCTTCAACATTACTATACCATTGATTACCATTCTCTTGCAAAATTACAGATGTATAATATGTAACTTTTGAACAAATATTAATATACAAGCAGATGAGAGCAAAGAAAAAAAAGGTTTACTTTTAAAAAAAACATCCTGTTTCTTTAATCAAATTTTCAATAATCTGGAAATAATTGAGCAAATGTTTGCCAGACAAAATCGGAACAGCAGAACAGACCACTGAATAAAAGCAGCCTTCGATTAAAGAAATCAAACGAAAATTGGAAACTTTCACATGCTCTTATAACTCAGGGCACAGAAGCTAATCCTAACACAACTTAAACCTTCATAATATCTGACACTTTTTTCCGGTATGTGTTCTTTTCATTTCCCCCTCTCCTAACAACCACTCCATCCTCATTTGGGAAGGGAAACAGCCCAACAACAACTTGCATTTATGTAGCGCCTGTCACAAAGGATTACATTCTCAAAGCATTTTACAAAGACAGAGTGGGAGTCTGAGCTACTTGCAGGAGGGGATTTGGGGTAGGATGGAAGTGACTGAAGGCTCAGTCATGGTTAGGTTTAGTAAAGGTTTTGAAAGCGGAGAGGGCGGGGAATTTCGGAGAGAGTTCCAGAGAACAAAGGCTAAGTGGCTGAAAGCTTGTGCATTAACAGAGGGAGCAGGGAAGAGGAACAGGACTGAGTTAGAATGAGTGTGTGGGGAAGGAGGACCACAGGAGATCACAGTGGGAAGGTGGAGCAAGAGTGTGGAGGGATTTAAAAGTTAGAAAAATACACATTATAACATATCACCTCAGATGATTGTAATTTGGTTGATGAGATTGTTGAACTCACTGGCCGCACCTATGGTTGAAGGAGAAGGTACTTAAGAGGAATCATGAGGGAGAAGGGCATGATACATTCAAATGTCCCCTTGGTCAAATCCAAATCCCTGACTGTCCAGCACCTTGGGACATCCTCCTGATGTGAAAGGCGCTATACAAATATAATTTTATATTGTATTAGTCTCACCCATCCTACCTTTGTCACCTCCTTCCCCCCATCATCTACCTCCACTCCCACCCCTAGCTCAGGTACTGAACCAGCATTTTCGTGCACCTCGAGATGTCTTCCTGATGTGAAAGCTGCTATATGAAAGTAAACTGTATTGAGCAAGCATAACACTTTTATGCCAAATTATAACCACCAAAACTTTTGGACTCTATCCCCAAAAGCCCAAAAGTAATATGGACTTTTCATAATAATTTAAGAAAGAACATACATTTAGCATATAATTACTTTGGACTGGGCTCAAATCACTTTGCAAATAATTATCAAGTTTGTTTTGAAAAATATCAATGATTTTGCCTTCTTTTTTCAAATAGTGTCATGCCCGCAAGAAAACAGGCAGACAGGACCTTGGTTTAATGTCTTATGTGAAAGACAGCACTTGTGGCAATGCAGCGTTCAACCTGGAATGTGAGCTCATCTCAATATCACTTACAAACCTCATAAAAAAACTACAACCTTCTAACCCAGAGGTGAGAGTGCACCCAACTGAGCCAAACTGATGCACTGGCCAAGCCTATGTAATATTCACAGGCTTGACTTGAGATATTTGGAAGTTAATGTAATACCATGGTTAACATTCCATAGAGGCACCAACCACCTCCTTTCACAAACCAATGATTAACGATACAGCATTCCCCAGGTCTACATAAATCACATATTATTGGAATAAGCTTTTGTCATGGTAAAACGCACGAGGCAGATTTTGTTTTCAATTTCCACAACAAAAATCCATCTGCATAACCTCTCTGACCACAACTCGAGAGATTCTGACTCAGAAATCAATAAAGACCACCTGAACTTAGTCCAACAGACAGTTAGTTCATCACAGACACGTTTCTCTCTGTATTGTCACACTAAAGAATTAGTCATGTTAAAAAGTATGTACAAACCTCAAACAAAAATAGGTACTGCTAGTACAAGAACATTAATTATGGATTGAAGGTAGCCTCCAGGAGGGGAAAACAGAGATCTTAGGGCGAGAAGTGACAGATCAGGAAGAGAGGCATTGGCTCAGAGAGAGAAAGCACACATCTATGTCAGGGTAATGAAGAATGACAAGCAAATGGGGTTCGTTGCAAACTGCAGATGTGGAAGTTTGAATGTAGCAATAAATTTACCGTTTATGAGTTGTGTTCTTTTTATTCACATTGATGTTATAATAATGATTTAAGGTTGGGACTAAATTGTCTGTTAATTCATGCAGGAGTTAGACCATTCGTTCTTTTAGTACAACCATCCAATTTCTCAAAGATTTCTTCGACATATCAATCTCATAATTTAACCTTGACTTATCTGGGTCCTCATTGAAACCCTTTATGCAGTAATTCTTTGTTCCATCACCTGCAGAGGTAGTTTTTCCACATGCCAATCATCCTTTTACTAAAAAACAACCTGCCTGGACTTATCGGTAATTTAATAACATACAAAACTACAGGTATGATTCATGTTTTTTTTGACGGAAGGAGATAATCCAGGTCTTTTCCAGAGTGAAGGTGGATCAAAATACTGAAAGATGTTAGATGGGATAACCCAGAAGAATACTTTCAAATATGCCAAGGCAGCAGGACACGAGGGTACAGACTTAGGGTTGCCCAGGGCAATTTTAAGACAGACACCAAGTATTTATTTACAATGAAGGTAGTCAACAGTTGGGACTGGCTAACAGGAAGGATGGCTGATTCCTGGACACTGGACTAATTTAAGAAATTGCTTGATGTGATGATAGGAGGGTAGGTATTCTGGATAGATGATATCAATTGGGTAGAAAAGCATTCTTCATCCAAACCTCTTTTGCGGTCTTGTGAATTTGACATCCGCAGAAAGGCAAAACAAGGCTGCCGTTACAATGGTTGGTTGATTCTTGTGTTAGTGAATATTACTATTGTAAATCATCCTGCTGTGAGCAAAGATATATTTTGCCAGTAAACACATGAAATGGTAGTTTTGAGCAGATTCAGTAGATATATCCGCCGTAAAGCAAGAACACTAGATTTCAGTACTTTCTAAGAAAACATAGATTAGGTAAGTAATCAGCATTCATTTTAAAAAAAACTTTTAAATAAGATGGTTAATTCAAACAAATATTTTCTTTTGCACTATGTTGTTTAAATACAGCAGGAATATAATGCATCACTTTCACAGGTGGCTAAAAGAAAATGAAGAACTAACCTGAGGTTCGGAGAACACTTGCTCCATGGTGTTTATGGGACCACATGGTACGCCGTTACCTTCAAACAGCTGGAGCCAATCTCCTATTGTCTTCTCTACAAATCTAAGCATAAAAGAGTTCTGTGGTTTACACATGATGGTCTGATGTTAAAAATGCACAGCAGCACATCATTTAATTTGCAGTAGCCACAATAAAACAAGATACACATTTCTTTGCAAAGCAGAGTTCTGCCCTCGGGCTTTTAGACATCATAGTCTCCAGACCCGATGTTTCCGTGCCTTGAACACAACCCACATTTACAAAGTCAGCAAAACTTTTTTTCATCTGCGATGGTTGTTGATCCAATGATACAAATTCACATTCAGTTATAAACAGTACTTTTTAAAAACTGAGGCAGAAGATGTAAAAGTCTTATTAAATTATTTAACAAAGATTAAGTGGTTCCAAAACTCTGTATAAGGAGGATGTGTATGTGAACAAAAATACTGCATATCATTACTATAAATTACTGATCTAAAGAAAGTTATCATCAATTTTAATTTGCAATAATTGCCCTTAGGATAAGATAAATGCATTTATTTGTTTTAAATCTTAATACTACCTCCCGGTATTCAGTACAGAGAACCGGTTTGCGAGTGCCACACTCTCAGGGGATTTCTGCACTGCCTGTTTCCTCTTCCTACCATCCTAGGTGGTCACATTTGTGCAAGCAAATGGATGCACAGAGGGACACAGGGAAGAGTGTCAATGCAATTGTCATTGGGAACCCAATGGTGAAAGGAGTAGAGAAGCTTTTCTACAACCAAAGACATGACTCTCGCATGGTATGTTGCCTCCCTGGTGCCAGGGTTGAAGACATCACGGAACGGGTGCAAAACATTCTGCAGAGAGAAGGGGGACACTCAGAAGTCATGGTCCGTGTTGGGATCCATGACATAGAGGAAAAAAGTCCTGAGATCCTACAGGGAGAGTGTCAGAAGCTAGGGAAAAAGCTAAAGAGTAGAACCTCAAAAGTGGTGATCTCTGGATTACTCCCAGTGCCTCGTGCAAGCGAGTATCAAAATAGTAGGATCAAACACATGAATGCATGGCTGGAGAATTGGTGCAGAAAGGAGGGCTTCAGGTTCCTGGATCAGTGGTACCAGTTCAGGGGTAGGTGGGACCTGTGCAAGGTGGATGGTTTACATCTGAACAGGGCTGGCACCAATGTCCTCGCAGGGAGGTTAACTAGTGCTGTGGGGAAGGGTTTAAACTAATTTTGAAGGGGGAAGGGAATCAGGATGCAGCATTAGAGAGGACAAACAACTTACATAGAGGGTTGGAAGAGACGAATAGCAATATAATCAGGAGTAGTCCAGAAAAAGGAGGGATTAGATGGAGGAGAAATGCAGAGCAGACTCAGTCGGTCTTGGAGTGCATGTGCGTAAATGCACAGAGTGTGACAGATAAGGTTGGTGAGCTGCAGGCTCAAGTTGCCACATGGGGTTATGATATAGTGGCAATAAACGGAGACCTGGCTCAAACAAGGGCAGGAATGGGAGCTGAATATTCCTGACTACAATATATTCAGGAGGGAAAGGGAAGGAAAAAAAAGGACGGGGGGGGGGGGAGGCAATATTGATTAAAGACACGGTTACGGCCCTGGAAAGGGACAATGTGCTTGAGAGTCCAAAAACAGAATCTATTGGGTTAGTTAAGGAGCAGAAAAGCAGCTGTTAATCTGTTAAGTGTATACTATAGACCATCAAATACTGGGAGGGAGATAGAAGAGCAAATCTGCAAGCAGATTTCAGAAAGATGCAAAACCAATAGAGTAGTGATAATGGGAGCTTCAATTATCCTAACACAGACTGGCAAAATAACAGTGTGAAGGGCAAGGAGGGGGAAGGGTTCCTGAAATGTGTGCAGGATAACTTTCTGAATCAGTATGTTTCCAGTCAACAAGAATTCAGTTCTGGGGAATGAAGTGAAGCAGGTTTTAGTAGGAGAGCATCTGGACAACAGTGATCACAATATCATTAGGTTTAGAGTAATTATGGAAAGGGACAAGGAACAATCAAAGGTGAAGATATTCAACTGGAAGAGGGCTAATTTTCAATGAGTTAAAAAGGGACCTAGCCAAGGTGGACTGGAAAGAAAGATTGTCAGGTAAAACAGCTATTGACCAATGGGAAGCCTTCAAGGAGAGGAGATAGTTTGGGGACAAAACAAATACATTCCCACAAAGGGGAAAGGTAGGGCATCCAAACCTCCCTGGATGAATAAGTAATTGGGATTAAAATAGATACAGTTTGGGACACGACTTGTCAAGGGACTGCCAGGTTGGTGGAAGGTGAACTAGATGGACCTTGATCTTCTTTCGCCTAACTTATTCTTATGTTCTTATGCTCTTACTGGCAACTTACCCCATATATTTTTATAGATTCAATCACTGATGAACACAAAAAATTAAAGTGTAACATTTCAGGATATTGCCTTTAAGTGTTTCCCACATTCACACTGCCCAAGCTCAAAGAATTCAAAGAAACCAATGAAGCAGTCCTTCATTATTATATTATACACAGAGATGGACAAAATACACTCACACAACACACCCACACACACTCTCATGGGTCTGTCACATGCAGGGCACTAAATTAGCATTTATTTTCATTATCTCTTTATAAGGGACGAGTTTTTTTCTGACCTATCTCTTAATCTTTCAACATTTAGTGTGTATACATGTATATATGTTTTAGTAAGATTTCATTTTTCAAATAAATTTGGTCATTCACTTTATTGCTGTTTATGGGACATTGCAGTATGCATATTGGCTGCTGTGTTTGCCCACAAAGTACACGCTCACTCCACTTTACAGTATATCCGGTGAAGCGCTTTGAGATTTCTTCCTGATATGAAAAGAGCGATATCAAATGAAATAATTATTATTAATTATTGTTATCATTAAGTGGAGGAATTTAAACAATTTGTATTAATCTGTTAGAAGTGATTTAATTGTTGGGACCATTCTGTCCCAACAATTAAAGCTCCACCTATGGATGTTTTACATGAATTCAGCTATCCTTTCAATTTGTATGCAATAGCTGGAAAGAAAAGAAAGGCAGTATACATACATACATACATACACACACACACATACATACATGATGTTGTTCTAAAGGCAAGAAGCTGAGTGTACAGTCTCCCAAATCATAGCTAGAGAATAACTGGGAGAGTTGAATTTGCAACAGTATCGAGAGCTGCTGTTACGTACTTAGATGCTGTACTATCTCATGAAATGCTTAGCCAGATATCTCCACCCCATTTAACAGAATATTATCTGTTCAACTATTCAACTGCATTCACTGACCTTAAAGATTAAATAATCTTGCAGAGCAAGCAACTGTTGCAAATAACACTGTTATCCTTTCCCTCATTCTGATAAATCCAGTGACTGTTGAGCAAGACTGAACAGGATGGTGGAATTTGCATATGAATGTCATGATTGACAATGGGGACTACAAATGAGGAACAACAATATCTGCTCAAAGAAAAATGATTTGAATTCCATCATCTTTAAGGTGAAAGCAGTTTGGGGAATACTAACAAATTAAGTGGTTGTTAGTATAGTAATATTAAACCATAAGTTTTGGAAAGCTTTAAAAGTCTCAATTTCGCTAAATATAAACGTGAATTCTGACAGCTAGAAAGTTTTGCACTATGATTTACGAACTGAATTTAGCATGGGGGAATTACCCTCCGACAAGAACTTCATTCAGTAACAATATAAAAAGAACACTTAATATTTTAGTCCATTACTTAACACTGTGCTGAACAATGTAAGCCAGTAGGCAACAAAGGAATGAACAGAAGCAAACATACAATGCGTTTCTATAGAGGCAAATTAGAGGAGCATCATGATTTCATTTATTTCCACTCAGAAATTGCAACCCGAGCCTGGGGCTATACCTACAGTAAATTACAACAAACATTCTGTCCTCATTTTCTAATACTTTATTTTGCATGACCGCAACGCTGCTGAGCTGCTGGAATAATAATGCAAAGCACACATTTTGTTCTTTAAATTGCCTCAACTGGTTTAAGGCCATTGTAGGATTGTTTCATGAAAAAAATACAAGTTCCTAGTTCGAATTCCATCATCCTTAAGGTGAAAGCAGTTTGGGAAAAACTAACAAATAAGTGGTTGTTAGCATAGTAATATTAAACCATAGGTTTTGGAAAGCTTTAAAAGTCTCCATTTCGCTCAATATAAACATGAATTCTGACAGCTAGAAAATTTTAATTTAATATTAAATAATATTAAGTTTTGGAAAGCTTTAAATGTCTACATTTTGCCAAATATAAACTTGATTTCTGACAGCTAGATGATTTTGCAATATGATTTACAAACTGGATTTCGTGTGGGGAAATTACCCCTCAACAAGAAATTGCTTAATTCGGAGTCAAACGCGAAGGCAGAATTGCTCTCTGGCTCCACACATTTCTGCTAAGTGCACTCCTCACAGTGCTGAACGCATACCACTGGCAGCTTTCTAGTGTGTACCAGAAGCACAAGTGCAAAACGTTTGCCTGTTAGCCAGATGATTATGTCCAAGAACCAGAGCTATCTGCTACTTGAACGCACAAGGCTAAATGGGGTGAATTTCAGCATTTTTTTTAGAATTGAGACAAAGGTACTGGATTAGAATCCATCGGTCTACTATTTGTATTCTCAAAATACTTCAGTATTCGAGAGGGCGTCTGCACTAGTTTCTCTCAAAGGCCACCCCCCCTCCCGAATACAATCAGCCCTTACATGAGTACGCAGAACCAGGTTAGAGACCCCAGTAAATTGCAGTCTTCACATTGCAGGTCGTTGCCAGGTATCCATGCCAACCTCAGAATACCAGCTTCCCTGCCTGCCTGCTTGACCTGTCATACCAAAGCCTAGAATGCATCACAGTGACCAACGCAGACTCAGCTGAAGGGGAGGCAAACAGAGGTCTAAAGTCCTCACTCCACTGCCCTATTCAGCAAATGCCAACTGGTTCCTGGGATAGTCCAAACTTTGTTTGGGGACTTTTCCATTTTAAAGTTCTTTTTAATGCAGCCTGATTACCTCCATTCCAACGCCACATCTCCTGCCCCCACTACACACCCCTGTTCATGTTCACTCGTGAAAGAAGTTCAAACCCAGCAGGACTTTTCCTTCAAAACAGTCAGTGGGGATCTAGTTTTCAGTAGAAACATACACATAAATGTATACACATGCATAACACATACATGCAGAAACACACACAAATAGACCCTTCTCCCTTGTTTGGCATCCAAACCCGTTATTTTGAAGTACTGTGAGATGTTGATCTATAGGAAGAGCATTATATAACTGCAAATTGTTTTTGCTGTATAAAAATATACAAATACAAAGACATAAAAATACACAAACAATTGATAGGGATACAGCTACTGTTAGTTCTATAAGTAAAGCCACAGTTCCACATGAAATAGACATATAGAAGAGATCCCTGGTCTGTATTGAGTTAGCTCATATCAGACAAGGCAGCAATTAATAATAATAATCCCAAATGAGTTGGAATGTAGGGGCATATTCCACCCTAATATCTACTCTCAGAAAGGATGACGATTCTCCTGACAGACTATGTTCACATCGTTGAGACGTCTCAAAACGCTTTACAGAATATACTGTAAAATGGATTGACTGTGTACTTTGTGGGCAAAACACGGCTGCCATTGGGGTGAGAGTCTTTGATATCGCTTGGGTGGGGAGGGGGCACGGAGAGGACATCATTTGTCACCCCTGCTGAAATTATATGGGTTCCGTTATTATGCTTCCCCCCCACCCACATTGTCACATAGTTTATTGACATGACTGTCTCGGCTCATACATCTAGTAGAGAAAATGTGAAGTAAATTTCTATTAAAAGGACTGAAAATGCGTTCTGATCATCGACGTTTCTGAAGTAAGTTTCAATTGACGGTAAAAATCTTTCAGAATGGCGTTTGATTAGAATGTCTATTATAACCAGAAACGTATGCACATCACTGGCACTAACCTAGCCGACAGGACATCAATAAGTTCTCTTCTGTTCTGAACCCGGAGCTTGTTGGTTTGGTACCTGGGGTCTCCGCTCAGTGCAGGTAATGACATGAGCTTGAAAAAGAGCAAAGAGGAAAGGCCAATGATGTAACAGTCATTTTCAAAACAAATCTCTGTCTGCTATCTGTTAAACCATAGCTCGGGGCTGTTTTCTATTTTTTTTGAGTGAAGAGCTTGAAGTTACCAGGAAGAGTGATAGAGGATAGGAAACTGGACTCATTTAGGGAAAATTTAAGAGATTGTAAGAGATATGTTAACTGGCTTGTTAATTTAGTATTAAACTAAGAACATCTTCTACTCACATGGGGCAAAATCCTCCCAAATGAGTTGGAATGTAGGGGCATTTTCCACCCCAATATCTACTCTCAGAAAGGATGACAACTCTCCTAACAGACTATGTTCAATTGTATTTTTATAGCATATTCTTATGTCAAAATGTCTCATAGCACTTTACAGTTAATTACGATCAAGTGCAGTGACTGTTTCTGTAGGCAACTATGGCACACAATTGTGGCTAGCAAGGCTCCACACGCAGTCATAGGTGATTGCCAAATTCATCTGGAGGATTGTTGGGAAACTGACTTCTCTTCTCGCAAAGTGTTGTGAGAATACAAATGTCCACCTGATTGGGCACAACGGAACTTGATTTAATTTGCCATCCAAATGACAATGCAGCAACTGCCCTCCATGACAGCTTAGCTCAAATCCAGCCATGGAACTTTAACCCAAAGGAGTAACTGAATGATTCATATAATTTTTCACATCTCCAAAATTACACACTGGACATAAACAAACAGCTAATATGTAAAATACAGGATACCATTTTGGTTGTGTCTTTGGACCAGAGGTTTTGTGATTAAATCACAGTGGGTTCCCTCAATGTTTCATCTTTTGAAAGTCAATAAAATAAGTACAGGGACATGTGGGGGGGCGCGGGGGCAGAAGGTAATCTTCTTGCGGGAGGGTGGGTTGGGAGGAGCTGGGTTTGAGGAGAGATGTCTGGCAAAACCAAACAAACAGGTTTCCAGTAATCCAATGCATTGGTATTGGTTGACTAGCTTCTCTGGATCATCAATGCGAATTAGAGCCGCAGACATTCCTCAACCATACGGTTATTATCCGTATAACCAGCCATATGATTAAATAACTAACTCGTAACATTACAAGCTATCTGATATTATGTGTACATTGTTTCACAGAAAGTAGTTCACCTTGCAAATAATTGAAAATTGCTGGTCATTTCCAGCGCAAATCACAAGGAAGCCGTCCTTTGTCTTGAAAGCCTATAAAATAGGGTTTAAGTTAAAAGAAAACATGTTAAGATATATCTGCATTAATGTGTAAGGAGGGAAAAAAGCAATAGATTTCTTGTTAAGGTCTAAAGTCAGACATAAACTGGAAGAACAAGCATAAGCCGAGGTTCGACGGCCTCCTCCTCTACTGTAACTTCTATGTTACCATCAACAACACTTTCCCAAGGTCTGCAGGTAAAGACTGTAAACCAATCCACAACATCAACAGTATGCTGAAGTAATAGATTGTTTCCATTGGTCAGCAACACAGTAATAAAAGGACACAGATGTAAGATAGTCACAAAAGGATGCAGAGCATTTGGTTGGAATTAGGAAGTCCCAGGCACAAACAGCTGTTGAAGCAGAGTCCATCAATACTTTGTTTTGGTCAGCTTGGGGTCTGACACAAGCGGAAACCCATCCTCATGCTTAAGAGTACCCAAACCAAACTGAGAATTTTGTGCATCCCACCTATACATGGAAATCCCAAAGATAGATTGTTGAAATGGAATGCGGACTCTCTCCATGGAGGGACGCTTCCTGCTTACCTAATTCCGGAAAGTAATAGGCACAGGTTGGCAAAACCAAGGCTTGGGGACCCCAGAGTGTGTGGTGGTGTACTGCTGGAGTCTAACCAGTTAAAACCACATAGCTTGCCATTGATATTGCTGTTTGGAAAGTTTTCCCGCTGCTTGTCCAGCTTGGACCACGCACACTACCCTTTAGAGCTTTGGCTTGTAGGGTTAAAAGGGTAGCCCTTTGAGGGTCTCAACAACGTGATAAGGCGCTACATCAAATGCACTGATTATTATTATAACAGGAGTTGAGTGGGATGATTCCCTGCCCCCCCAGTGACTGGTAATGCACCAGGCTGTCATCAGCAGTGCTCTGGAGTAATGCGGACCCACCTGGCACAGGAACAGACTAAAATGGAGTAGGGATTATTAATAATAGTGCTTGTATTTGAGATAGTTAAGTAACTTTCATGTCTCAAAGCGATTCACAGGATTTACACAGTGATGTCTTTCAAACAGCTGTGAAGTAAACGACCAATTTTATCTACAGGATTGTGTGTCAAATATGGAGAACACCAAGGCAGACTCAATGGACTGTATGGACTGTTTGTGAGGAGCAAACAACAACTTGCATTTATATACTGTAAGCAACTTTCACGTGAGTAGCATCTCAGGAGTGCTTTAAAGGATGAGAAGGCCATACAAGTGTCCTGCTGGTGCTTCTGCCTTTCATTGTGCTGTAGTATTTTAAGATTAAGTTGTTTTAGGCATAGTGATTCGATAGTGTCATACTGTATTCCACATGATACATGATCAATAATTACACTGTATTCAGAAAGTGGCAGAGTAAAACATAGAGATTAGCTGAAATTGTATCGAAAACTATATCAAACTGCTAGATAAATGCAATTGAAAATCTGAAAAACAAACAAGTGTACCTCTCCCTGGAGGGATGCATTCTGCTTAGCTGATTCCAAAGAGTTTTACGTGCAGGTTTGCAAGAGCCAAGGCTTTAGAGAACCCAGAGTGTGCGTTGGGGCACTGCTGGATTCAAACCAGCTAAAGCTTACCATTGGCAGCACTGCCTGGCAACCTTTCACACTGTTTATCCAGCTAAGATCTCCCTTTCTATTAGGGTTTTGGGGTTTGCAGAGTTAACGGGAGCTCAAAATAACTTTGAGTTAATTCTATGACTGGAATTGCAGCTGATTGCTGGGCATAATGTGGCAGGGCTGAATTTCCTGATTCGTGTAAGAAAATAACCAAATCGATGTTGCAACTTCCCCATTAGTAGGACAAGCTGCCAAGTTTTGAAATGTTATTGGCAAGGAAAAAATGACTCCTAATACGTTCAACAACAACAACAAATTGCATTGATATGGTGCCTTTCACGTCGTTCAGTGCAACTCAGAGCTTAACCCAGACAACGACACAAGCAGGGGTCTCCGATTGCATCTACCCAAACCAACCTGAAACAGTGAAATTAAAGCTATACTCAAACTATGTTTTATCAAAGTGTGTTCCGAAAAGGTTAAAGGCAGCGATGACTGTATCAACCCTTTGTATCAACCCCATTGAGACATCCTGAAGATATAAGGCACTATATCAAATGCAAGGAATATTATTATTATTTACGGTACTTTCTATGAAGCGCTTTAGGACATCTCGAAGATGTGGTAAGCTGTAATATCAAATGCTAGTATTATTATAAATATAAAAATCCCTACATTTGATATAGCGCTTTTCACATCTTCTACTTATTTATTTATTTATTAAATAAATAAATAAATAAATAAATAAATAAATAAATAAATAAATAAATAAATAAATAAATAAGTAGAAGATGCGAAAAGCGCATTTATTAAATAAATAAATCCCACATAGGTAGGTAGGTAGGTAGGTAGGTAGGTAGGTAGGTAGGTAGGTGGGTGGGTGGGTAGGTGGAGTTGAGAGAGTGACTTCTAATTTTTTAAAAAAGTTTCAAACAAATATCAATACAGGTGGAAGACTAAAAAGGATTAAAATAAAAAGGCAGGAGGTTAGGGAAAAAAGAGAGAATCAAAGGAAAAAAGGAACAAAAATTGTGGTATTTATAAACCTTATGATTACCAAGTTCCTTATTTAAAGAATTTTGTTGAGAGATGCTTTGAAATAAACCCACATCCATCACTCCGGCCTCCTGTTCTTCCCTCGCACTACCCCACGAAACTCTGCAACTCTCTCCCTCAGTCCCACCCCTTTGCCCCATTCCTCCCCACTTTCAAATCCTGCCTCCAAGACTTTCCGTTTTGATCGTGCTTACGGTCACCTCTCCCCTCCCTCTCCCCCAGCTCGAGGTCAGACTCTGCCACTGTCAAGCGCTCCGGGACTCTACCCCACGTGAAAGGCGCTATATAAATGCAAGTTGTTGTAAATATTAACGGTAGCATCATAAAAGCTTGGGAGTGAAGATGGTGCTTTCTCCCTCCCTACCCTCAATATGTACCTGTTTGACCATACTTTTGGTCATCTTTCCCTTCCTCACCTCGCTGAGCTCCCATTCTCAGCTCCGGTGCTGAATTGTCGAGGGCTTTGGGTTGTTCTGCTGATGTGAAAAGTGTTATAGAAGTGTAAACTGTTCTGTACTGTGTTTTCAACGTGCTGCTTTACAAGACAGCGATTTAGTTAAATCAAATTCTCTAAGGTAGCATTGAAAGGTTCCCAATTGTCACCCTTTTATAAAGTGCTGCTTTAATAATAATTATACTACTTGCATTTGATATAGTGCCTCATCACGTCTTCGAGACGTCTCAAAGCACTTCACAGTAAACAGTACTGTAAACTGAATTGACTGTATATTTTGTGGGCAAAACATTTTTGAATGGAATACCAGCGCAAGAGACTCCAGGAACATGGCCTATGAAGATGGCAGTCCAGGGCTGCACTACAAAGGTGGTGCTGCCCAGATCTCCCCTGCTTGTACAGCTGGCAGTGAGTCTTGGATCCTGGTTTAGTTTATCGACTTTTTATCATAGAAACCATTTCTATTTTTAATTTGCCAAACAAACATTGTTTCAAATCTTGAAACTGCAGTCATTAGCATTTCTGCTTCAGATATTTCTGACGTTTCTGGGAAAATCATTAGTTTACCTCTATAACTCTGAGATATCTTTTGAAAATTGAACAATGAAGTGTGTTTCTCTTTGTGAGAATTTATTTAACAGCAAATCGATGACAAGCATTTACGGAAATAAACTTTTTTTTCATCTTTCTGCAAAATCCATAGAAGTTATCTCACTGAGTACAGGAATGTATTTCCTAAAAAGCATTTGTTTGTTTTATTTGAGGTTCTTTGACCACGAATTTTGAATCACCATAGAAGTTTCATTCATAATTACTTGATTTTGTACATATTATTGTACATTCACAGCGAGCTTCATTCAACCGTACACAAAATAAAATAAAAGGGCAAATGCCAGAAACAATATTTAATGAGACTTTGTTTTGACAATCTGTGGGCCATCAGCTCAAATTATTTCAAATTGGCATGTAAATTGGTACCTCTCACACAAAACCAAGATGCAATTCTTTCCTATGACGTTGAGTTAACCTTTAGGTAACCCTGTCAAAGTACTATAAATGTAACAGACAATGAATTGCCTACTAGATGTAAGATAAGGAACAATAATTCAAAAGTTAGCTGTTTTGACAAATGAAAAATGGAAACACCTTATTAAAGATCAAGAATTGAATCCGTTTATTTTAAGAACATTTTAGGAGTTCCTTGGATACAGTACATAATTCCGGAGCAATTAGCAAGTTCTCTTCAATGAGAAACCGGCACTTCTTTTATCACTCCAAACTAGAAACCGACAACGAAAGATGTCTTTTTAATGTTGTAAAGTTTGCACTGAGATCAGATCCAATCAGTGTTTGGGAAATAGTTTCCACATAATTACCGCACAATGTCTTTTTATATCGAGTTTACTGACCTGGGATCAGTGTTGATTGAAACATAGCTTTGTAAACACTTTCACAAATTGTGAGAAAAATGTTGATTGAAACATAGCTTTGTAAACACTTTCACAAATTGTGAGAAAAATGTTGTTGGGAAATGCTGAAGTACAGTGGAAAGTACAAAGCTAAGCAAAGATGGAAGGGCTCAGCTTCTGATAACACCCGCTTCCGTCTGGATTGAACCAACTAAGAATCAACATTCCAGACTTTATTCAGAGTAGTCAATTAGTCTACAGAGAGCGCTCAACATACATGAATGGCGCTAGTTAACCTGTATCCATTCAAGCAGTGAAGCGCTTTGGGATGTCCTGCTGATGTGAAAGGCACTATACCAAATGGAAAGATTATTAGGATTATTATTAAGTATTAATGTTGCCTTAACGGATTAAGGAAATTGATTTTCTTAACTGTTTCTGAATGGAGCACGTGTCACACACTGCCAGTCCATCGCAACGGAAAAAAGAAGTCAGCTAAGAAACT